GCCTGGGTATGGAATGTGTGGACCTGCCTCCAAGAAACCATCATCTAATTGAGGTGAGGCCCGACCGGTGAGTATTTTTGGTGAGGTGAGATAAGGTGAGGTTTTGTCTTGCTTCGCGTTATTCATCCTGATGGGTCTGTAAGAGACATTCGGTTACCTGTTTCAGTGGTTGAAGTGCATCTCCCTAGTCGCCTCTTGCCTCTCGCGTTCCATGTCTTCTCCAGTCTTCTCCAGCTCCTTCTCTAGTTGCTAGCTATCTTGCTTCAGTCGACGCCCTCCTCCCATTATTGCAGATGTGATCTCTCTTGTTTTTTGCGCCTTCCCACTCTTCTCTCTCGCCTCTTGGTCACTCTTGGGACAACACACGTCATCTCTTACGGAAAGTACGGAAAGTTGCACAAACACCATGGACAAGAACGAGAAAGGAATGGCCGGTGGTGATTGCCAAAGAAATTCTCCATGCAATTGCTACCTACCTAGATGTTCGTACAGGTGCCCCACTCTTACCCCCATGTTACGAATCTGGAAATACCTTAGACGTCGCAGGCACAATCCAAACGTCTAGTCGACGGAGTGGTCACTGCCAGGCGCGGACTGGCTACACCGAGGTGCGTGAGCGGCCTGTCACTTTATCGATAAGACCCTAGACCCCGCTAGCGGCTCTGCTCTGCAATCCGATTCGACCAGGGGCCCTCTGTGCCTGACAACGCCTGGCCTACTGGGATCCAGTCTGTCAAATAGATCGCCAAATTTTCTGATGCTTCACTTCGGTCCCGTCCGTTCGATACCGCAGTTCAAACAACTTCCAGATCCGGATGCTCTTGGCCTTCATCTACATTACCCATTAAACAACGACGCCATCTGATCTGATAGGGCCTCTTTTCTCTGTTCTTGTTTCTTTGTTTGGTCCCAAATCTGGGCCCTGCCGTTTCAGGACCCGGCAGAACAACATTGATCTTCGAGTCTTTGGGTTACATCCGTCTTGAAGCCATCTATAGATGGAAAGCTGAGGCTGAGACTGATACCAACACTGAGACTCTCCGAACGAGATATCAGACTAGCTGGACCCGCCAATCATCGGTTCCAATAATACCTGGCGCATTTCCAGATATCTTGGCAAATATCTTTGCACCTCAAACTTGCCTCCTGAATCGACGGAAGGCTTTGTGCACCGCCCACAATATTTCTAGAGAAGTGACCGAGAACCAAGTCTGGCTTCAAGGCTGCAAAAGAGTCAAAGGACAGAGGGAGATAAACAAAGCAGCTCAGGGCTGGAAGTGAACAGGATCTAATCTAAGGCAAGAGCAGAAGAGGAGCTGAAGGTGCAGGTCGGGTGCCTTCCTTTTTTGCGCCTTCCTATTCAACGTCCCGGGGCACGATTCTATTCGTCCTGGCTCTGCCTTTCGAAGTACCTAGGTTCCTGAGGCAGTGTGGGCCCCTTCATCAAGTTGCTTCTCGCGACTTCCTTCCGCTGAGTTCCGCTACCAGGTATTACCTGAGTGCACTTCACTTTGGACCAAAAGCAACTTCGCAACCTCCTTCATCCAGATCTGACCAACTGAGGTAATTGCGCTGGCTTGTCGCTTCCCTACAAAAACATCCAGCCCTCACAGCACTGAGGAAAGGGTATAGAACAGTTGGAGATCGAGGACACGACACCATATTTCTCTTTCTCAAGAAAGAGCTAGGTGTGCCACCTACATCAACTGTCGGTCGCACAAGGACTTGACTGGAAATCTTCTCTAGTCATCATTCTGTTTTCTTGACTGCTCGGCAAAGCCTCCGCTACATCCGATCTTGGCTCTGTTCGACAACGTCAAACTCAAACGAGCCGCATCAGATTCTAGCAGCAAACCTTTGATGACAGGCTTCTGACTGGTCTCTTCACCCAAGTCACTACAGTCCTTCTCAGGAAGCCGTCGTGGAGCTACTCCAGTCGTTCTGTCGTCTGTTGCATTCCACACTTCGCTCACGGTACGCCACAGCGGTGCACAGCAGCTATCTCCGTAGCCCTCTCTGTCGGTCGTCTTGTGCCTCGGGAGACCGAAATCGAGATACCGTAACTTTCTTGTTGAAGTGAGTCACGGCTCCGGCGTGGCGTACTCCAAATCATCCCCCAGCTATACTGACGAACACACCAGTTCCTGCTTTTTCTGCCCAAATCTTGGAAGCCAGTCTGGAGACCACCAGTCAAGATGCTCGCTGTCGAACGCGCCTCGCTCCCGGCCATGGCCTCTGATAGGCCTGACGATCAATCTGAGGAAAAGATCGAGCACACTGGCCCTGATGTCATCCAGCCCCATGCTCTCATCGACCACCTGCTTCCACAACAACTCGGCCGAGGGGTGCTTATTCCTCTGAAGACGACTTTGGAAATCCGACAAGACCACACCATTGTCCAGGCTTTGATCACGAGGGCTCCATCTACGTCTACTAACAATGTCGTCAAGTGAGTAGCAGTCATCATGTTTCTGTCACATACTAACCTGACTCCAGTCTGATCCGCTCGATGCTCCCTGAAGGCGTGGCTAACAACTTGCCTCACTTGCGAAGATGTGCGAAGCCAGCGGATATCCCGGCTCATCTCAAAACACAGTTCATGAACGACTCCCCCGAAGGCCGCCAAGTCCACACCGGTAAATCCACCTGGATCTACATCATGCTTGGTGAAGAGAAAGACTTCGATAAGCACGACTTGGTCGCAAAGCTAGGAGCCATCGAGGGAATGGATGAGAACGTTTTCCTCACCAAGATTCCTATCCCCATGGTACCGCCTACTTCTCAGGTGCAGGCAGCTATGTGGACCTCGCAGTTCTGGCCTACGGTGTACAGAAAGAACAACCCTCTTGGACCGCACCCTAGCATGGTGGGACGATCAACGGAAACCATCAAGGATGAGACATCTCTGTGGATGACCTTGGCCCATCGCGTCGCCTTCCAGGCCAAGAAGGCGGGTGTCGGCGAACCCATGGGTGCCGTCATCGTCCAGCGCGAAGGGGGAAAATCCCACCTGGTAGCGGTTGCGGGAGATGCTCGTTGGCACCAGGAGCCCAACAGAAGCGGTACCGGCAACCCCATGGGTCACTGCGTGCTCAGAGCTATCAGCATGGTGGCGCAGAAGCTTGTGCGACACGAGAGACGTGCAGCTGGCCGCTCCAACGTGCCGCCTATCCTTGAATACGACACTTTTCAAGATCTTCCGCTCTTGGAAGACGAGCTCACGGTCCATGAAGACGAGCATCCCAACGCGGACGGCTACCTGTGCCACGGCATGGAGATGTACTTGACTCACGAGCCTTGCGTCCAATGCTCGATGGCTATCCTTCACTCGCGGATGGGCAAAGTCGTTTTCGCTCAACGCATGCCACTTACTGGGGGCATGTGCTCGGAAGATCGAGGACATGGCCACCCCGAGCTGGAGAACTGCGGTGGAGGCGAGGGTCTCGGTCTCTTCTGGAGACGTGAGCTGAACTGGAGCTTACTGGCGTGGGAGTGGGAATCGAGCGACTGCGTGGGACCTTTGCCGCCGGTTGATCACAGAGTCCATGCTTAGTCCCCATGGGACTTTACGACGATACCTTGGTGCTTATGGTCGGGAAACCGGCCTAGGCCAGAACAGTCTTTGTGTACCGGGATGCCAACGATTGTGAAAGTTGACGGTAGTCTCGATGCATTAGTATCGATAAACCCTGTACCCCAAGCTCTGAGCCAGCTCGTTGGCGGCTTTTGCGCTTTACAGTTTACTTGTTGTAGTTGGTTGAGAGATTGGTTGGAAGGGCTAGCAGAGGGTTTAGATAGTCCTTTCAGCTCCCGTGGAATGTCTGACGGGATGAGGGAGATTCGAGAGACGTGCGACGGTAGGCTGGACAGAAATTATACCCATGCTGTCTCATTTGTAACAGACGGCAACTTTAGCAATGCACAAGCAACTTACATCAAATCTTCATCGTCCATACTTGCTGTGATGAGCGATGGTTGAGGGAAGATGGACCCTTCACTCTCTAGGATACCAAAATCACGTAGAAACAACCGCTGGGAAAGAGTTCCAGCCGATGTAATATCAGCATCCAAGTGATATTGGCCGCAGCCTCTAAGGTACTCACTTACCCTACAAAAGTAACAAAAGTAAGTCCCTTAAGGTAGTGCCCGATGAATGAGGTAGCACGCGGTTGCCAGAATAAACACCACACCAAGGCAACTAACTACTTTTATAATCGATTTTATCAATCTTTCCTGAATTTAGTCATATTACAAATACACCTAAATTACACTTGAGGGTATTTAATAACTCAGATTATATTCCGGTTTTTTTGAAATTTAATAGCTGACCTTGTGATGTCTTTTGCGATGCTTACCTATGCTGAGAAATGCTTGTATATGTGCCGCTTTTTCTGACAACCGCGTGGGTAGGTAATACCTAGCACGGTGTGCACTTAGGTACAGAGTCAGAGTGCGCTAAGGGTCGGCAAGCTTCCATTTACAGCGGTCGTGCTTCCTGCGGGGAAGAGATGCGCCTTATCTTATCGGCGCGCCTAATGCTGGTGAGGAAGGCCCGCACTGGGAGAACTGATCCATACTCCCATCCATTGAAGTGGTCCCCTCGTCACCAGCCCTTGCCGCAATCTTCATTCTTTTCCCCCGTTGCATGTTTCGGCATGCGCCCACGAACAAAGGCAACCGCTCAGGAAACGGCCCTGGAACTGCAGCTTTCGAGACCCTTCTAGCCACCAGCATGAGTCGCCTTTGACTCTCTTGACCCACGCGACACCAACCAGGTAGCTTTGTAACGGCCCCGACACATGCGCTCGCGACTTCAAGCTTTTTGGACAAAGGCTGTGGACGAACTTCATCCCCGAGCTTCTGTAAGCTGTCGCCTTCTCCCATCGGTACTTTTAAGACGACGACGCGCCACAACCTGGCGAGGCAGACCGGACGACATCCGCAACGATTACCGTGACAACCTACAGCTTCTCGCAAGCTTTCTGAACGAGCGCGTCGACATGCCGGCGGACAAATCGAGGAAGCGCAAGGCGGACAAGGACCTGCAGAGATACTACGCTGTGCGCGTCGGTCTCCGGCCAGGTGTATATCTGACATGGCTCGAATGTCAGAAGCAGACTGCTCATCAAAAAGGAGCAATATGTATGTGAAGACACTTGACCATACCACTGTGGATTTGGGGGCCTTCTTGACCGGTTCGACTGACAGAGGCTGCTTTCTAGACAAGTCTTTTTTCACACGCGAAGAGGCCCAGGCTTTTGTGGAAGGCAAGTTCGTACCCGCGCCAGCTGGAGAAAAGCCCGCTCCTCCGAGATACTATGCCGTCGCGCGTGGTAATTTCACGGGCATCTTCGTCAACGACTGGGATACGGTTTCCTTGGCAATCAAGGATGCCAAAGGGCCTAAGTATAAGAGGTTCGACACATACACCGGCGCGTTGGAGTTCATCAGGGAATGGGGCAATGAGGAAACGATTGCCGGCGCTGAGGCCGGCGCCCTGAATGCGGGTATCAAGGTTCTGCCCAGGAAGCCAGCCACCAGCGCCGCAACGAAGGCCACGAAGGTGAAGAAGGAGACCGACGATGAGATGGAGGCAGAGATAAATGAGGATTCTGAGGACGATTCCGTGGAACAGGAGGTACTGAACTTGCCGCAAATTTATACCGACGGATCTTCGGCGGGCAACGGAACACCCTCCGCCAGGGCCGGCGTAGGCGTCTACTTCGGACCCAACGATGCAAGGTAAGCTGGTCCTCAACTACGTCTTGTGTTCGTCCGTCATGGTTCGTCCTCAAAACGAAGCAGTGGTGATGTAGTTCCCCTGCGTCATTTCTTCAACAGGCCAGACACAAAGCACTAACTTAGCCGCATTTAGAAACATATCTGAACCCCTCGAGGGCGAACTACAAACGAATCAGCGAGCAGAACTCACCGCCGTCCTTCGAGCACTCGAGTACACCTCGGTCACTCAGGACGTCCAAATCTGGACGGATAGCAAATACTCGAGGAACTGCGTCACTCGAGACTGCCAAAAGTGGATGAGCAACGGCTGGAAGACGTTGAATAAAAAGGACGTCAAAAATCAGGACTTGATCAAGGCAATCATCGATCACCTCAACAGGCGAGAGGCTGCAGGGACAATAACGAGCATCAACTGGGTCAAGGGTCACACCACAAAGCGAGGTCAGACAGCTGCAGGCAATAGGGCTGCGGATGAGCTCGCCACGGCCGGTGCAAGGAAAACTTTGCCAACGAAGTCAAGAAGAAAGCTCAAGTGAGGCGGCCACGATGGCCTCGAAATCTAAGTCGAATAAGGATGATTACGATTCTACAAAACACGTGCAAGGCGTGTTCTGATGTGCCTACCTGGTGGCGATAGCATAGGATACGATGCGGCAGCGAGTTGGAGGGGTCGACAGAGGGCGACCTTACGCGCCAATTGACGATACCCGGACGAAGCTCCGACCCCTCGCACTACCGTTCTGCAGCAGCGATACGGGCGATGTTGAATATCATCATACTCGTGAAGGGCCATTGGCTTGTTGTGACGGTTACGTCAAAGGGAGGCGAAGACCGCGTTTTCGGCGCATGTGGTTATGGTTGTTTGACTGGTAATGCTTCTGCTTGTGTCAATATCCCCATCTCCTCGCAAACTTTTCTAGCCATTGATACTGTAATTATTATTTTTTTCAACGGCGAATCGTATATCTGGCATTGTTGTGGTCCACAAAGAGATATTGACGGCAAAGACGTAGAGGGGGTACTATGCATGCAGGAAGACCATTGACGAATGTTTTGGTTCGTGGCGGAACTCCCAATGACGTGGTCAAGTTTTTGACAGGTGTTTTGTTCAACCATTCTGTTTCCCGTTTCTGTTTCCCGTTTAAGTAGTTTTCATGTCCCAGATACGGTAGATATCCATCCTCAGCTGAAATCCATCATCCCCTCGACGAAGTTCTCTCCCTCTTTTATGCCACCGACGTTGGATTTCCTACGAATAGTATTTGTGGACTTTTGTTTCATTACGTAGGATTTTCTGCCTTCCACAAGGGCAGAATATCTTTCTCTTTGGAGACCCTTTCCTGCCTGTCCCGTTGCTTCCGCGGCAGGCCGGCGCGAATGTGATGGTCTTGGAAAAAAACACTTTTGTCTCACAAGCACGGTGGCGGGTTGTGAGACCGTACTAAACTCGTGGTTCCATGTACGCGCGTGTGTCTTTTTTTTTTCTGCCCTCGAGCTAATGTGATTGAGGCATTCTTTTCGTTACTCTCTCTTCCTTGCTCTCTCTCCCTTTCCACGCCCCCCACGTTGTCGTTTCTGTGGGCGTTTGTGGATTGCTGGCGAGGTTCTTGAAGCTAGAGAATGTGGTTTCAGAGACAAGAGAAAGCGAGAGAGGGGGGGAGGGAAAGGGAAGGGACGGAAGGGATCTAGGTTCTTGGCACCGGTTTGAAGTTCCGAGAAACTAGTTTACTTGTCACCTTGTTGCGCCTATTCAATAATATAGTTTTGTAGGGCCAGACAGGCATTTGCTTATCGTCGAAACCCATGTTGACTAAAGAGAGGTTCAAAGAGATATTGTGCACCAGTACGGATAAACTTGGAAAACTTGGTCTGTGGGCATTACACGAGGTCCGGCTTTGATGACCAGAAGCGCACAAGAAGCGCCGTCTTAAGCTTGCATTCCCCAAGATAGTTCGTCACCATTCAGTAAGTTAGCAAAGGTCCAGCGCATAGGGTAGTCTCTCCTCTCCATTCTGTGCAAAACGGCTGAACTCTGCGTACCCCACATCGACGCAAATCCGAGCGTCCATCATCTCACTCTAATACTTACTTCCCAGGAGCCATACCTCATCGGGTCAACAACAAATACCCTAGGTACCCGAGCAGGGGACCAGGGACATCCCTCCTTCCCGCTTTGCCAAACCAGCGGTGATGATGGAAAAAAAACAAGGGCCGGGCCACAGCTCGGCGGCGTTCGCCCCGATATCCAGAAACCACAGAACTTGCATTAGATCCTCGCCGAGCCGCCACTTTCCTTTTTCCCCTTCATCCTCCCTTCCCCCTTACATCGCGACCTTTTTTGCCAAGTACTTCCGCTTGGGTTTTACCTATTCACTCGGCCGCCCGCGTCTGCGCTCCGCATTCGGAACCCATTGGGCAGACAGGAGTTCAGAACCCCTCGAGAATCCGCAAGACGTGCAGACCGCCATCTCTTGGTCGCAGAAAAGAACATCCAAAGAAGCAACCATCATCGCCACAAAAGTCGTTGATCCTGTTGGTCTCCCAATGATAGTCAGCCACGCAAGCGCCGCAACTCTCCTCCTCGTCCACGACGCTTCGAACCCCGCGATTCGATAACAATCGTCTATCTGCTGTTGGCTAGAATAAACTGTATTTCGGATCGTACCCCACGAAAACGTATTGATTCCGGTCTCCTTCGGATCCGAAATCAGAAGAACTTCCTGTCCATAGGGCGTGCGCGCTTTCTCTTTATCGCCTTCCTGGTCGGTTTTGTGTTGCCGAGAGATCAACCGCCTACTCTCGTGGTTCAAAAACTTGGCAAACCGGGACCTTGTCGCATTTCCGCGCGCACTCATTGGGTCATCTTACCCACGAGATCGCGGGGCCTACAACGCAAACTTGCACAAAGTGCGGAGGCTTCCAAGCTTCCAAGCCCGGCCAGGCACCTTGGCGAAAGCTTGAGTGCTCTCGACCTTTTTTTTGAAGCAAATCTCACCTCGAGCAAGGCCTGCCCAAGATGCCTACCCTCGCGCTCACAAACTTCAATATCCTCGTGGGCCTGCTGGGTGGCTGGATCTCGCTGTTCGGCCTGGTCTCATACCTATGCAAGGAGAACTACTACCTCTCTGAAGCCCGTAAGTCCCACCGCTGTTCTCGCGTTTCACTGCCCACCGGGGCCCCAAATGGCGAATATGGTGTCAAGGGTCGCAGTAGATGCGCCTAGATCGCCATGCAGGATATCACTTTCTCGATTCGTCTTGCAGTCAAGCGGCTAACCAAAAACTCCTAGTGATATCCCTCCTCGCGGGCGTGGCCTTCTCCCCTCCCGCAGCAAACCTCATCAGACCGCTGGAATATGCCGGCACGGAAGAGGACGTCGAGAGCGTTACCCTTGCCTTCTCCCGCCTCGTCCTCGGCGTTCAGCTGGTTCTCGCCGGCGTCCAGCTGCCCAGCAGGTACCTCCGCACGCAGTGGAAGCCCATGGCCCTGCTCGTCGGGCCCGTCATGACCTGCATGTGGCTCGCAACATCCCTCCTCGTCTGGGCCATGGTGCCGCATATCCCCTTCTTGCACGCCCTCGCCGTCGGCGCCTGCGTGACGCCCACGGATCCGGTGCTGTCCAACGTCATCGTCAAGGGCCGCTTCGCAGACCACAACATCCCTACGGAGCTACAAAATCTCATCATCAGCGAGTCCGGCGCCAACGATGGGCTGGGATATCCGTTCCTGTTCTTCGCCCTCTACCTGATCAAGTACATTGGCGACGGCGGCAAGCAGGTCTCTGGAGGCGCTGGCTTGGCGATGGGTTTGTGGTTCGGCGAGACCTGGGGCTATACCATCATCCTCAGCGTCATCTACGGCGCCGTTGTGGGATGGCTCGCAAAGACACTGCTCAGATGGGCCGAGAAGCGTAAATACGTCGACAGGGAGAGCTTCCTGGTCTTTGCAATCTCCCTGGCGCTCTTCATCGTCGGTACGTGCGGCATGATTGGCAGCGATGACGTGCTCGCGTGCTTCATCGCAGGCAACGCTTTTACGTGGGACGACTGGTTCCGCTTGGAAACCGAAGACGACTCCTTCCAGCCAACGATTGACATGCTCTTGAACGTCACCATCTTTATGTGGTACGGCGCCGTCATCCCGTGGAACGAGTTCCTCCACAACAATGTGATCCCCATCTACCGCCTCATCCCGCTCGGCATCTTGGTTCTTCTCCTGCGGCGCCTGCCCTTCGTCTTCGCCATCCACCGCTTCATACCCCAGATCGAGCAGGTGAAGCAAGCCATCTTCGTGGGCTTCTTTGGCCCCATTGGAGTATCGGCCATCTTTTATCTCTACGTCACGGTCGAATTCTTGCACACGCTGAATGAAGGCGATGAACCTCGTTCGGATGTCGCTCACCTGCCTGAGATAGTCAGAGTCGTCGTCTGGTTCCTCGCAGTCTGTAGTATAGTAAGTGACGCACTCCCAAAATCGTCGAGAACTAAAATGAAGTTTCACATAGGTGGTCCACGGGCTGAGCATCCCGCTCGGCAAGCTCGGCTACTACGCTCCACGCTCGCTCTCTAGAGGCATATCGTTCATGAGCGGCGAAGGCGACGGCGAGGGCGGTCCCGAGGCCACTCGACCCTCGTTCCGCATTCGTGGCAGAGTGCTGTATCCCTTTGGTCGTTCACGATCCCAAGGCATCGAAGCAGCGACAGGCTCAGGCTACGATACCGAGTCGCGGGCACAGTCACAGTCACAGTCACAGTCCCAACCTCAATCCGATATGGAAGGAGCCAATCGGTCCATCTACAGGATCGGCGGCTCAGTCATCCCTCCGCAGCCTGCGGGCGCGGACGAGCCGGGCGCGGCCCCTCCTTGGACGAAGCGGGCCGATCAACCGGAGCAGCAAAAGCGTTCAGGCCCCGGAGACGGAGAACACGTTAATGGTTCTGCGACAAAGGTGGCTGATGAGCAACACCAGGCGCAGACGCCACCGCCACCACCAGAGCTCCCAAGTCGTACAATCCGGTTTCCGGACGAGACACCCGCAGCACCTCGGTGATTTGCAGGAAAAAAAACCCGTGAGGCAGAAGATTTCGTGTGATGCAGAACTTATTTTCTGCAACTGCAAAAGCGTTCTTTTGACTTAGACGTGAGACAATCAACCTACGCAGCGGACAGAATTCCGGATACCAGCCGCTGTCAATTCCCATGTCTCTCGGGGGTACTCTCCGGAAAGCAAAAGGAAAGTATATGGGAGACGAAGTCGTGGTTCGTTGGCCTTTGAAGTGACACTTGTCCAATCTTTGTTCGTAGAGAATCTGTTGTAGATAGAACTGGGATAGAACCGGCTAGAATACCCGTAATTAGGTAGACGTCTAATTGAACTGGAAAATTGCCACTCGGTATTTACTCGGTCCACCATTTGCGAGTTCTCTACACACACACATCGGAGTCGCCTAGTTATGCCTAGGTACCTCAAAGTTGTTGCCCACACGTAGACCAAGTTCTGGTGGTATAAGGCCAATCGTTGATTGGTGCTCTTGGA